CCCCCCCCCTGTATGTCATATTTTATCCCTTCCACAGTACTCACCTCTGTCTCTTTTACATCCGTGAATCACCCTTCTGTTCTCCCTCTCGAATTTGTCTCACTTTGATGTTCCTCCCCTCTGTGAAGTCCGAAGTCAGCTAAAGGCTAATGATAACTATCAAAACACCTGCCATTTGAAATAAATGAATAAATAAATAAGATTACAAGTCGACTTTCAGTTAAAATGTAAAAAAATGCGTATTTCTCCATTTACTTCATTTTTTTGAAATAATAAATGATAATGTGATAATTTTAAATTCTAATCATAATTTTCACTGATGGAGCCTTCATCAAGTTGAGATAGAAAATGATGGATATTGGTATTGAGTCCAACTTTAACAAAATCTTCTTTTGCGGGGTTCCGCGTTAAATCATCTTGCTAACGGTTGCAAGTTTTATATACCTGACGTAAAACTTGTGAATATCCAGCTTCCACAGTCCTAATCAAGGAAAAACAATCTACCTACATTTGGAAATATCACAATTTATTCAAAATTACCACCCCCTTATCATATTCATTGTCTAGTCATTTGATAGAAGTACTCATTACAAACGTTCTGCTAGATGTCTACATGTTAATTTTTTTATGCCATTCGTGGAATGCCACAAGACACATAATTAATAATTCAACAGCTTACGTTTGTCTCGTCGATGGTGGATACATCCATGAATCTCCAAAGTGAGTTCCACAATGAACTGAGAGATGACAAAGAAGAGGGGGTAGTTGAGACTGCGCAACTGCACTCCCGCTGAGGGCATTCCAAGACCCAACATGATATTGGGAATGGAGAGGACGTGGGCGAGGGTTCCAATAATGAAGTGAGTCCAATTGCAGTAGGGACGAATTTTGTGCATTGGATGAGGCCAGGAGAAGGTGATGAATGACTGGTAATAGGAAAAAGGAAGATGCAACTTTAAAACGGAACCAATAAAATGCAAAAAATTTGACAACATTTACCCTTAGAAAAGGGCTGTAATTAATTGTTTCAATAAAAGTTATAAGTAGAGGGGTGGAGTGGAGAGGGGGGTTGAAAATACGTCTTAAACCAAGTAGAGATATCATAGTATCTTCATTTGATTTTTTTAATTCGGATTATAGGCTATTCACTTAATGTCGGAAAGTACAGATAATAATATTTTCTCCAAGTGAAAGACTTCCCATACTTCACTCTTTAGTACACTTTTGTTTTAATTTCTTGCATTCAAACGAAGTGACTTAAACGGAGCGTAATATAAATTGATCTCTCGATATGGAAACACACCTAATGTCCTGGAATCGTGACTACAGTTAATTTGTTTGTGTCGTTTTTGTTGAGATTTCCTATAACTAGTGTATATTTCCTGGGGACTCTAATAGTCAATTAATGCATCCTAGATGGATCCCTTCAATTAATCCTGGGGACAATCACAGTTGAAGTAATTTGAATGTACAGTAAAAAAATGCGAAATAATTTTGATTTAGCAAAGAAAATTAGAAACACGCATTCACATTTTATCAGGGTAAAATTTTGTTAGAGTTTAAGCATAAAACCATCTCATTAATAATCGAAAAACACCGGAATAGATTATTAATTTTGGCAAATAGCCTAATCGGCAGGGAGGAAGTGAGGGTTTAAATTTAAAAGGCCTAGTTTCGGTCATTATTATCATGCAAATCCTAATTATAGGAAAATAATAATTAAAATTCATCGTCAACCTTTGACATTTATTCTTTGTTTTTGAGGAAGAGACGAATTGAGGAATATATTACTGTCACCTTCGCATCAAAGCATAGAAATTAAAGTTGTAATACATTAAATTTTTCAAAATAGAGAAATTGTTGGTTTTTGGACTCAAACAGGAAATAAAGAGCTGTACTTGTAAAAATTTACTCTGATCAATTACACAAACAGTACGAGTACAGCCAACAGTTTTATATCCGAGGTTTTTTGGGTTTGAATATTACGGGGCTGTAAGCTAATCCAAATTTCTTAGAAAGAATGAAAACTGCACCAAATTGACGAGTTGTGACCAGATGATGGTCGTGAATCTGGAAAAAACACTTGAGCAATACTCCCAGCAATGTACACCTTCAGAACATCACAATGTTGTCTTGTCATTTATGTCTCGGGGTAGGAGAGAATAAAAGGTTTCTCATGAATTATTTACATCAAATTACAGGCGTTTCGATGCTTATCATTAACCCTTTAGTTGATTTCAGGCTTCACAGAGGGAAAGGAACATCAAAGTCACAAATGTGGAGAGGGGGAAACAAAAGAGTGTCTCAAAGATGTCAAAGTGACAGACTCAAAGATGGAAAAAAGGTGAGGTGAGTACTGTGGAAGCATTCGATTATGATATACAGTGGGGTGATAGTATTTAGAATTCAGAAGTCAACTGCCGGTTAAAAGACTATTTTGCCGTATAACTATACGTTGCCCGGGGTACACCACCCAGTAGTAAGTCTATCGCACCCCCATTATGTCTCATGATAGGAGAGAATAAACGGTGTTGAAACTACAAAGAAAAAAGCTCACAAAAATAGAATTCCTTTTAAGAGGTATACATAAACAAAGGCTATGATGGATGAAGTTGGTTCGTAGGTCGGGTACTTAGAGCGCTTCTGTAACGACACGTCAATTCCTGCCTTGAAGGAGTTCTAATGAGTGTAATTAAGTGCGAATTTACCAGTTGAGTGGATTTATCATGCATTCTTACATGGAGCTATTTAGAATGCTCAAGTGTTAACTCACGGTTCGGGACTATATGCAGGAAGTCGAAAGTCCGTAACCCATCATGAGGAAATAAAAAAATGATTTTAATAGAGACTAATTTTTAATTTTAAATAAAATTTACATGTCAATAAATTATCATTAGATGTTTAAACCTTCTTTTAATTAAGCCAATATCAATTTTTTGTATTTTGCATCTTTTTTGCGAATATATAACTGACTGGGAGGCAAGAGGAGTATAATCCCAATTCCAATTTATTGCTCTTCGATTTCCATATCATATGAGTGATAGATCAGGGCTTGAAGAAATAAACCGGCATTTATCGATCTGCCTTTGTATGACCAATTAAATTCAGCTAAAACAGGGAAATTTACAGTCCATTGATTGGCTAAGTCTTCAGTGTTAATCGTAGTTCAACCGGACCTAAACACATGAACTCATAATTTCTATTAATGAATTTGGCCTGGCATTTAAAATGACTAAACTTTCCTTATTGACATTTATTTTCTTTTTGAGGTCCAAGCAACTATTGGATGCGCATAAAAGTATTTAATACTCATTATTTATAATTAATTGCTAATTTCTAAGAATTCATAACAGGTATTGAAATAATACAATAAAGATCCTAATGTAATCGGATTTCTTAAATGGCCAATATTCCTGTTGACAATAACAGAAATAAAAGCAATTGGAAATGATGCATGGATGCAATATTTCTGATATTTCTACTTGACTTTATTGATTAAATTTATGGGATCCTGACTTTACAGGAATAGGTTTTCTTGCCAATACATTACCGATTTTTAATCGTTTTAGTACACCGCTGAGTTATATAACCAGGAGATTTGCAAGCATAACAATAACGAAATACTTTTGTTGAAAGATTTAGAATTCGTGGCAAATGTTTCATGCTGTTTTTAAATGATTTTCTGTAAGTTCTTGCAAGAACTCTGATTTGGACATTAAGCACAGTATTCCCAAATTCTCCAGTCACAATTTTTTTTAATAGATCTTAAAGCAGCCAGAATGCGATGATAAAATTTATTAATGATTAGTGAAATTGAGAGCGGTAGCACTGTTGATGATGTTAGATCAATAAATTTTTCCAAACATCTTCAGAAAGATTCATTCAATTTATTTGATTCACCTGCTTGTCAACCGAATCTATCGACTCCTGTATTTCCGTATTTGCGATAAGCCTTATACTGAAGATTAACTTCCACATAATCGTAAATGCATCCATTCAAAGTAATTCTTAAAACGTGACCTTGAGGTATTTGTTAGAGAAACCTTTTGTGACTTCAAATGATACTCCTAAATATGCATATGCAAGAGCCTCTAATAAATTAAATGAAGTAATTAAATATGAGTGCATGAAACAATAGAAAAATATATAATTCAATCTCTAAATTATATTTCTATCTGATTTAATTAACTTACCTAATTAATTTGCAATTCTATTTAGAGCGTGCATTTCGAGACAAAAATTAGTTTCTAATGGTAAAGCAATGAAAACATATCTACCTCTGATTACTATTTCATCATGACTAATTCTATCACTTTAATAAAAACAATTATTTCAGTATTTGAAGGAGTTGTGAATTATTTTTACTGGGTGGTATTGGCATGAAATTTGTTTTGCTTTCATAAAAAGACTTAATTAATTAAATTGAATAAAATAATTGCCTTATGCTAGAAGATATGAAGATCTGTCATGCTTGGAATTAGAAGTTCACAATTTATCTAATTTAATAGAAATTGTTTAGTAGCGTCTCGTTAAAATTCTTTTGCATCTTAATATGGCTTTAATTGACAAGTTGTGTTGCAACTAAAGAGGTCCAAAAAACAAATCAATGGATTAGATTAAATATATTTGCTTAATAGGAGAACTTAATAAAAAGTGCCCCAATGATTTCTTGATTTTAAATAAACTGACGAAGTGTTTTGCGGTTGCGTGCAACCACCTGGGTTATCCACGGTATATTGTGCTGAGACACGCGATCAGAATATGATCAACAACATCGCGTGGTGATTTCTCGTTTGATCATAACAATAACCATCTTGAATCAACACAGTCAATTCGATTTTTTGTTTGCTGATCCTTCTATTTGCCTACTCCCTTCAGTCTCATTTCACGACAGGGTCTAAGTCACCTTTGACCCCACTCAAGCTTTCAGTTTCGGATTCAGAAGATCAATTTCTTGTAATTTTAATCTTGAAAAAGGGGTGCGCGATAGACTTACCTCCACGTGGTGCACCCTGGACAACGTATTTTCTTACGGCAAAAAAGTCTATCACTCGGCATTCGTTTTTGACTTCGATTTATTATGATTAGCTTTAAAAGGGCTATAAGAAAAATCGCCCAACCACAACGTCTTCAGATCCTCCAGTGGAATGCTGGAGGAATGCCTCCGGACAAAAAGATCCAAGTACAGAAAATCCTACAAACCTATGATGTAGACATTTTCACAATTATGGAAGCTAACATTTCGGATGACAAACTGAAGTACTGCCAATTCTCAGGTTACACCCTGTACAATCTACCTAAATACCGGCAAGTTGCAAGTGGAATTCTAACTGAAGTTAAAGAAGGCCTCACTTCACACTACGATCTAATCAAGAGTATGGGCTCGACACAAGACAAATGTGAAATAATCAGATTAAATGTTTGGAAATGTCAAAACCACTTCAAGATATATGCAGTCTATAATCCACCCCAGAATTGTCCAAACTTTGACTTTCTGAACATCCCACACAAAACTATAGTATAAGAAGAGACTTCAACGCCCACTCCACCAGATGGGGCTACAAGGATACAAACATAGCTGGAAAGGAAATTGAAGACATGCTAAACAGCAACCCACTGGAACTTATTTACAGCAATGAGGATCCGGCTACATATTTGCACTTCAATGGAACCAGAACAACTCCTGATTTACTC